TTAGCCAAGCTGTTAGAGTCGCTCAGGCACCTAGCTAGCCAACCCCAGCTAATTTGGGCTCATTTTTAGCCCCAACTAGTAACTAGCCCTAGCCCCTGGCTGATCCAAACAGGCCCTAAGACAACATAGAACTGTAGAAGATTGGATGTGATTCTTGAAATGCCATTTTATGTGTTTAATATTCTTTTACTGTCTAATGTTTAGCGAACTCTTTACTTTGATCAGCAAAGTTGTAGATTATCTGTTGGAGATCTAACTGGAATCTGACCAGGATAAATTTTCGTGCAATCTGTTCTGTTCCCATTTATCTGAGATTATTTCCTGCTTGCTGCAGGCTTGCTGGTTTCCCATGTGAAATGACTGAATCCCGTGAATCTAGTTTTGGTTCACGTTGTGTTACATATTACCACAGTCCACGTTGTACTCATAGTGATCATGCTTGTGCCCTGTCATGGATTCTGGAGGACCATCATTGTTTCGAAGAACTTCAATGTTGCACTCCAATTTGCCATGCCCTGCAGATGAAGGTTTGGAAACGGCCTTTCGCGGTTGATAGCTTTGGTTGCTCTGTCATTGGCATGACCTGTCACCAGCACCTCTCAAAAAGAAATTCACTAATCCCTGTATTTGTTCAGAGCCTCCACATGTTGTAATAGTTTTTGCTCACACATCAGATATAACTCAGAATTGCCAGATCAGCGAGACTGGATCCGGAGTGTAGAATTTTCTGGGGTGCGGTTACCTTGTGTTAATATATTGTTATGAAAGTGAAGGCCGGATTGAATAGAAATGATTCATTGTATTGTACCTATAGTTTGTAACTGCTCCTACCTGGGATATTGTATGAAATAGGTGAGTTTACCGCGCGTTGCTGCGGAATTTAAGAAAACGTTATCATTGAAAGAAGCAAAATATTTTAGATGAAGGATTATGGAGACATGTAGAGAATTTGGAGTTTGCTGAGAGCGTGACATGGTGCATTATTTTTCAAATGAAGGAAGCTCGTCATGGGTTTAATGACGACTTGGAAACTACACGATAGAAACCGACACTACCAGAAACGAAATGGACAAATATTTTAGAGAAATGGGCTTGGGGAGGGGACTCTCGACCTCCCCACACTCTTGCTCTCCTAGTCTGACTCTTCTAGTCTCCCTCTATTGGTGTGATCTCCAATAAATATATATTACTAACTTAAATAATAGACTTATTACATGCAGTACATATAAGATAGGTTTTAGTTATGTTAACTATATAAGAAAAGTGTTATTATTTTGGTCTCTATAGATGGCTCAAACGCAAATCTTGGAAACCTTGAGCTGCATAAACTACACCAACGTGAAGATAGCCGATCATAATGGTAAAGAAAAGATATATTGTTTCTTCAAAAAAAAGACAACCTGTAGAAATGGTTCCGGAAGGATCCAACGGCACGAGAAAAATATAAGAACATATAAGTTAGAAAATGACAAACTTAACTGATGGGCAGATATGGACCTTCTGCCTTTGCGATGGCAGCTAATTCATGTTCATTGTTTAAACCAATAAAAAACATTAATAAGAACAGCTAATTGAGAAACACCAGATTAATTTGGGGTGTATCTTTTTTTTTTCCTCTTTTGAAGCAATCTGGAGGGGGTATTCTAAACGACATAGTAGTATGCATCGCCAACAAAAGTATGCATGTAATAAAATCTGAATAATCAGCCATGTCTCAAAAACAAACAAAAGCATCTAACCGAACCATGATTAAAAAAAATAGCTAACAGTGTCTGATATCATTGACTAACTTTATTTATTGACTTAAAAGAGATCACATGTGTACCCGCTGCAGATGGCTTATGCATAAACAATTGGATAATACACCATAAGTTGATTTGTTAAGAGAGAGAGAGAGAGAGAGAGAGATGAATCACTGATGTCTATCAAGGCTTTGCGATTGGGCAAGGGGAGGTGATCATCAGTTCCTTGCTGCTGCAATGCTTCATAAATAATTGGGTGGAATGACTGGAGAGAGGGAAAGGGACATGACCTGTTCGTGCTTCACATGACTTACCACTAGCTGGATACCATAAAATCAAACATGACTGTTCAGTTCTGTACGCAGACTACTCTGAAAACATCCAATACACATGGACGGATAGATATGTTTGGAAACTCATGATCCAATAGTAAAACTTAAAAGTGATGACGTGGCTTAACATGGTTATAGAGAAATCAAAGTCAATGACGCTACCATCTATATAGGTTTATATAGATAATATGGTTTCTTACATGCCTAGAACGCTCTCCAATTGCTTCCATAGTTCCATTTCGTTTGACTCACCAGATTCATTGAGCAAGGACGCCCTTTCAGGGTTCGTTCTCATTTGCTTGCTGTGCTGGTGCGCCCTTTTGGTCCCTGTCAGCTCCCAATCATACAGGCACGCAGCAGCAGGTACAAGAACAAGTGCAAGTTTTTATGTACCAAGGAATCCAAGATGAACTTTTCTTTGTCAACACCTGTATCTGTTTCCCCCTTTTTTTTTAAAAAAAAAAATCCTTTTGATCACCTGATTGAGACAAGAAGAATTTCGATCCTAAGAAAGATAGAAGTGACAAAAAGAAGTGCTATGTAAACTGTGAACATGGTTGAGTGTTTCGCAAAAAAAAAGTGAACATGGTCAGCGGCGGATCTAGGAAATAAACAACGCCGCTTTCGATCTTAAGTCTCAGCCTCCTCACTTTATATAACTTTCTTGCAAAAATTTATATAGGCTCTCTAAGTAAAAAAAAGCGCCCACTGCTGGATCCGCCCATGAACATGGTTGAGGATCATGCCATCATCTCTATCTGATCTGAGCCTTATTCAAACCTAAAACTTGGACTTAGATTCGACAAAAAGAGCACAGGGCCACAGGTGTAGTCTTCACCTCCACACTCGAGCAACATTTTGTGAACAAGTACGGTTATGAATTAATTTTAAATCTGACAAAGCTATAAAACATTTCATGTTAACCTAAGAGCATCTCCAAGAGATTCTCTATATCCTTCCTAAATGCTACGAATAGAGATTTTTGTGAAAAATTATCCTCCAACAGCTTATCTAAATAGTCATCCAAATATAGCCATTTTCTATTCCGGATTTTTCGCTAGCAAAAAATAGAAGACGAGAATGACTCTCTAGAGTGAACATGAGATATAAAAAAATGTTGAAGAGTGAAAAGATATAGAAAGTGATTTTTTATGTAAATGACTCTTCAAATGATAATTTAGAGAGTGAGATTTAGAAAGGCTCTTGGAGATGCTCTAAGCATATGTACGGAATGTAGTTTGCAAAGCAATGTTTCTTGAACTTGAAAATAAAAATATTTTTCCCTGGCAACATGTTACAAAAATTTGCTACATTTGGGTAGCTGCTCACACATCTGATTCATATTGATATTTGATTTGAATCCAAGAAAATCTGAGTTCGTACTCGAGTTCAGTACTTCAGTTGGGTTGGGGCCCTGAGTTCAGTACTGTTACTGTCCGTCTGTGCCACACGCCCACAGCCCCACACCTCATCGCTGGCACGTGGGACCCTGGTGTCAGTAAGGGTTAGCTGTGCTGATCCCGCCTCCTGATCCCCACCAAGGGGCGGCTCATGACTCATCCCGCGAATCAGACGTCCTCGTGATCGCCGAAACCCCACCACCACGGCACCACCACGCACCACGCACCACGGCCTTTCGCTCAAGGAGCCAGCCGTGTGCCGACCAGCCCAGGGCAAAGCAGAGGCGTCGCAGCCGCGGCGGCGGCCAGCGACAGTTGGGTTGGGGTCGGAGCCAGCCAGCCGCCGCCGAGCCGGACGGGCAGGCAGGCAGGCCGGGCAGAGGTCAGAGGACGCCGCCGCCCCTATTAATAAAGCCGCCGTGCGTGTGCCCTGCACTGCACAAGCATCAATCCACCCAGGCACCCAGGTCCCAGCCCCCACCTCCCCTCGCGATCCGGACCCACCTGCCCCGCTTCGTCTGGGAACCGGCGTCCGCCGCGCCGCGTCCCGGCGTCCCCGACCACCGCTCCGTCTCATCCAGGAATAGGAGGAGCAGGTACGCATCGCCGGACCCGTCACCTTGATCGCACGCCGGTACGCCGTACGCGGCGGCAGGATCCCTGTAGTCGTAGATCGCGCTGTCTGATGTGATGCCAGATGCCACCCTTTTGTTTGTGCTCCGCCACGGTCCCGCTCCCGCGTGAGAAAATTATTATTATACGATGCGAAAGAATGGGCTTCGTTATTATAGGACTTTAATCGTCGACTTCGCTAAAACGATATTCGAAACGTTGACACTTTGTTTTAGATGATATTTGATCCTTTCAATCACTTTTTTATTTCAAATACATGTATTTTGTCATGGGAGGACCGTATTGACCTTGTGCGTGGGCTGCTTGGCAGCTGCTGCCACCGCCGCCTGGCCTGGGCAGGCTGGCTGGCTGCTGCCCAGCGCGAGAGAGCGCGACGAGCACCCGCGGCGGCCTGCGCGCTAGCGGGGTGGCGCCGAGCGCGCCATGCCGGACAGCGCGACGAGCACCTATTTGAGATAAGAAAAGTGATTAAAAGGACTAAATGTCATCTAAAACAATATGCCAACGTTAAGTGTTGTTTTAGCGAAGTCGACGATTAAAGTCTATAATAACGAAGGCCATTGAATTATCTCGTCGACGATTAAAGTCTATAATAGCGAAACCCATTGAATTATCTCCTCCCGCGTCGCGGCAGCCGGCAGGATGTTGTGCGCGGCGCACTCGCCTGCCTGCCGGTGCCGGATCTGTCCCTGTTGCTGGGTTGATTTTTCACTCGTAGCGTTGTCACATCGTGGTAGTTAAATGTGAGAACCGGTGATAACTGCCAAGATGTCATCGAATTCTCGAATTCCATTTGCATTTCCGTATCCGTACCGATCTAGTAGTTCACATCATTTCCCTTGTGCTTTCTTGCCAGTAATCCATCAATCGGGATCACCGGGCCGCCAGCAAAGATGTCAACTGCCACCGCCCCACGACTATCCGTCCCCAAATCCGGGGCAAGCTACCAGCCCGCCGCCGCTCCGGCGGCCAAGAAGACCGTCTCCTTCGTCGGCTACACGAGGCAGCAGGCGGCCCAGGCGTCAGGGCTACTACGGCTGTCCACCAGCAGGTTCGTGGCGGCGTCCGCGGCGGCCGTGCACAAGGTGAAGCTGGTCGGGCCGGACGGGGCGGAGCAGGAGTTCGAGGCCCCCGAGGACACGTACATCCTCGAGGCGGCCGAGAACACCGGGGTGGAGCTGCCCTTCTCCTGCCGCGCCGGGTCCTGCTCCACCTGCGCCGGGAAGATGTCGAGCGGCGAGGTCGACCAGTCGGAGGGGTCGTCCCTCGATGAGGGCCAGATGGCCCAGGGGTACCTCCTCACCTGCATCTCCTACCCCAAGGCAGACTGCGTCATCCACACCCACAAGGAGGAGGAGCTGTATTGAGTTGCTTATGGATGCATCAGTGCTTGCTCCAATGGTGGCGCGTTCGTTGATGTTCCATGGCAGGGGAATGGGGGTTTCGTTGTTGAAATGGGCTAGTTCTTGTCATCAGTTTTGGTCGTTCGATGAGATCATGGCATATGAGTTATGGCAATAATTATGGCAAAATATGGTTTCGCAATTCAATGTGCATATGTGACCAGCAGCGGCAAAAACTGTACCATATGGGAACTTGTGAAATTGGCATTGTGTTCAATTGGCTAGTTTGGCTCGGGTTTTCAGTTTTCACCTGCACTTGTGCCCCGTTCGTTGGTCTGAAACTTGATTGAAAAATATTATTCCTGGCTGGTTTGTTGTAAGAGAAAAACATTGTTCGACTGATTTGGTGAACAATAAATTATGAGGAGGAGCAGCCAGCAGACCAGACCAGCGAACGGCCCCTGGAGGTCATTTGGGCCCAAAGTTGGTGCTTAGTGTTGCTAGATGGAAGCCCACTTATATGAGTGTTGTCTAGGGGTGAACGCTCGGATTACCTAAAAATTTCAGGTCTGGTAATTCGGATTTCTAGAAATGTTAGTAAGTTCATCTGAAATCACCGTTTACCTGAAACTCTGTATTAATCCCGAATTATCCTATTGCATTACAACAAGAGAAAATGAACATCTTTTCAAAGCCATCATATTTGACAGTAGGCACGGCACAATCTTTATTCGGCGCACATGTGTTGCTTCATGTCCCAACACACGAAGCCTGTACGTTTGGCTCGTGCTTGTCGTATACGATTATAAATTTTCAGCCTAAATAGTATTTTTCTCTCACACAAATCAGCCAGCAGTATTTTTTCACGAACCAGCAACGATACGAACCAGCCAACCGAATACAGGCTGATAACTGATTAGTTTGCTTGCATAGTTAATTAAGAATCTGTCTAGCCACAACCGGTTGTTTTAGCCCCTTCCAACAACCAGATTTTTGCTCATGCACTTACACTGTTTTATAGCTATATTTACACCGCTCTATTACTATATTTACAATAACTTCTTCAGTGTAATTTATTAGATAGAGTGATGTAATTTAGGAATAACACAAATATAAACCAATTTTTTTTTAAAAAATTACAAATTATTTTTATAGATTTCAGACATCGAAGAAATATATGCCAAATTATTCACAAATATCAAATGTCAAAGAAAGCTCATGGCACTCGATCCGCCCGACGTCGAGGACGCTGGCGTTGACTACGGGCGCGTTTGCGAGGGTGTACCTCGCCGGCCTGGGCGGCTGGCCATGGCCTGGCCACCCTTAGTCCGGTCCAAATGGTGTAAGTGCTCGTGTTTGTCATCGTGGCTCAACAGAGCCGAGCTCGATTGAGATCGTGTTTGTTGTGCTTGTAAAATTGAATACGGTGAACTTAGAGCGCGCCTCCAGCGCTCGAGCGAGCCGTGCCGCCAGGAAACGAACCTCCACCTCGTTTCTCGGGAGCCATGAGAGAGAAGGCAAATTGCACGGCGACAGCCCGGCTCGCTGGTGGACCCTACCTCGCAAACATGGGGAGTTGCATGCGGAGGACGCAGCCCGGCCGTCGAGCCAAGGTCACAAACGCCCCCGTACATGGCCCGCGCGCAGTAGCTCTGCGCGGCCGTCCTCGGCGCCAACGACGGCCTCGTCTCCGTGGCCTCCCTCATGATCGGCGTCGGCGCCGTGAACGCGACGCGCAAGGCCATGCTGGTGTACCATACGTAGTCGACTACATGGCCCCCACGTGACTACCTGTGGTGCCAAACGAACCGAAGGATTCTGGATTCATGGTGTTGCCGTACCATACGTACTCGGTACTCGTATTCTACTGCGACGCAGCGGCAGCGGCAGACGCATACAGACCGAAGCGATCGGGCGGCAGACGCGTACAGACCGATGCGACCCGTGCGCCAATCGTACGGCAAAAAAGGTTGTTAGCTGGTTGCAAAACAACCGGATGACTGTTACCAATTCTGTTAATTAAACTCTCCCTTTTCCCATGAATATATCTTTTTTACTTGCATGTCTTTTGTTTAATCTCTCTCTTTTCTTACATGAATGTCTTATAAATATCTCTTATTAGTTCATCATTTTGATTAATTTCCTTGTATGGCCAATGGATTTCATTCATTGCTAACCTTGGCAGCGAATGAGCACACAGTAAGAGTCCCGTGCTGTCGAGCTTTCGCCTCTTTTGTGTTATTGTCAATTGCACTTCTTATGACAGAATTCTAGCGGTAGTATTCCTAGCATTGCTGTCACCATATCATCTTCCTTCTTCACGCAACTTGTCCCCAAACAGTACCCCCGACGGCTACACAACTCTCAGCTCATTCAAAGTCTTCCAGTCGCTCTCACTCTTTGGACAATGCTAAATGCTCATTGACGACCTTCTGCTCTAGCTTCTCTGACATTTTAAGCAAAGTCCTACCAAACACTAGCTGCGAACAGATCATAGATCAGTTGGTTGGGTTCCTTGTGGTGGAACCTGTCCACTCGAATTCAAATTCTCGATTTGGCACGGGTGTTTGCATTTTTCTGGATTTATTCCAGGATTTACCGACGCTATGCTTTCAGTGGCAGGCGACGTCCCCGTCAACGGCGAGAGATATGTCGGCTCAGTCCTTCGGAGGTGCTCGTAGGGGTAGGGTTTGCGTACGTGTTCATAGGGGTGAGTGTGCGTGCGTGTGTGGACGTCTACGTTGTACCATGTAATTTTCAAAAAAAAAAAACACTAGCTCAAAAAATAATATCACGAGAGAAATTCTAGAGAAGAAGTCCTTTCTTTTTTTGCTATAAACGGTGAAACCATCTAAACATGGCTTGCAAAGAAGTTATGGCCTTGTGGCTAGAGCCGGGCGAAGATTATTTCTTTCTGTGAGAAATAGGTTGGATTACTATTAATGTACCGGAAAAGGATATAATTCTAGAGCTATCTTTAGTCAGGCTTTCTAAAGTTTAACATCAATATTAAGTATACTTATATAAACATATATACGACGAATCTAATGACAATTATTTGGTATTCCCTCTTCGTCATATGTGTGCATATTTGTTCATATTTCACGTTGCTAGCAAGTAGTGTTCGGGCTGATTTTTTTTTTTTACGCTTCCCACTGCGATCACACTTCCGGAGTAACAACTGATTTTTTGGCTTGTCCTCTTTTGTGCATACTGGTCCGGATGACGAATGTGACTCCAGATGAGCGCACTATGTCACTGTCGTCATCACCATTCAGAAACATATTTCCATTTTATTTGGGCCGAGAGCCATTGCATTGTCTGGATGGATGATAACTCCTTTCCTAAAGTGAAGTCTAAACGTGGAACCTCTGAAAATTCTGAATGCTGAATGTATGCTGTTCTTTGTTTAAACTGTTCTTCACTAATGTTTCTTTAACCTTCAGTTTTCAGAATTTCAGAGGTTCAGAGCTCAGATGCAGGACGTCGATACATTGGCGGTCCTCTGCGCTATATATGTTATTTAGGTAAGCTACCCTCACTAAGTGAATGTTGATCTGTCGCCTTGATTCAGGTTAAATAACCTGACTATTTGCGTTCTCCACTTTTATTCAGTCGGCACTGCTCTCTGTTCAAGTGTTCATCTGCAGTTCGGCACCGTGAGAGTAGTATAGCGCAGCAGCCAGCAGCAATCACTTCCGCTACGCATCATCATCCTAATAGTAGATCAGCATCAAGCTATTAACGTACCTCTTTTTTTGGTCATTTTCACTGTGCGCTCACGCATCTGGTCTTGAACCACCCTAGCATCAATTGCGGATTCCGTCTGTTCAATCCACAGAACATTTGCTCACAACCAGAGAGAAAACAATGAGCAGGAAAATGCTGGAGATAAATAAATAGGTACATCAAATTTTACAATTCAAATCAATGTCCCACGTGCCTTTTCGGAGGAATGAGGACTTTTAAACCCTCCAACGAATCAAGAATCTTATAGCTTGACAAGGTATAGTCGTATAGAAACTGGACTTCTTCCTTCCATCGTGTTGGTCGTTGAACGTTCAGCATTCACAGTCGCATTCAGCAACTATGTTCGCATATTTACATACCCGATGAGCAAAAGAAGAAATTTTTTCCTGGCAACCGTGCTGGCGTCTACAAAAAGATCAAGAACCTGAGATCACGGACGCAAGCTTTCGCTGTCATGGCCTCCATCAGGTGTGACGGGATGACGTGGAGCCTTTAATTTTTGGTCAGCGACCACTACCTGTCATTCATCTGCTCCTGCTGCCCGCCGCCGGAGCCGTAACGAACGAAGCCAACTCAACGACGAAGCTGCGGACGACGATGCCACGAAAGGCGCAGCACCGTGCGCGTGCAGTAGCCGGCGCCCGGCGCTCCGGCGTGCACGATGTACGGGTACGGCAGGCACCAGCCATTCGCTGTTCCGTCGCCGTGACACGCACACGCACCCCTTCTGCCGATACGTTTGTATTGCAATTCCAAATTATAAGACGTACGTGATTTTTATTATGCATTTAGATATACAATTTCAAATTATAAGACGTTTAGGTGGTTTTCGGATACGTAATTTTTATTATGCATTTAGATATATAAGTATGTTTTGATTACGTAATAAAAAGTAATATATTTTGTTTTAATAGGATTATTCCTCTCAGCTCTCTTTCCTAAAAAACAATGGATATTCCCCTCTCCGGTTTACCAACAAGCAGAGCGAAGACCGATCAATCCGTAAATAATACTCCTTCATTCAGTTAAATTGTGTTGTTTTGGCTTTTTAAATATAGAACTTTTACTATGTATTTAGACATAATGTATATCTTGATACGTAGGAACCTAGAAAAATAAGAAAATTCTACTACCTGTTTGGAATACATTTGGAATACATGAATCTTCCATCCATTTGATTGTTTTTGTCGGAATGCCTTCTTGTTTTGCTTATCCACGGAAGGCAGGCCGTGCCTGGGACGAGCAGCCGTCTCCGAAAGCGATGCGTTTCGTGACTTTCGTCACTTGGAACCTTTTAGAACGTATATACATACATAGAAAGTGCATGTAGTATGTATGACAAGACCAGGCAGAGCACGGCGTACGCCGCAGCGAGCCCACGCCTATAAAGAGCAGGGGTGTACATGTACTCAGGTCTCAGGTAGCGCGACCCGGCCCGGCCCAGAGGCACGAGGGCGACGAAGGGTAGCGAGCCCCAGACGAGCCATGGCGCGGGCGGAGCTCCGCACCGTGACCATGCGCTCCTCCCCGCTTCCGCGCTGCGTCCTCCTCCTGCTGCCGCTGCCGTTGCTCTCGCTCTTCTCAGGTACGTACCGTACGGGTGCTAGCGGCTAGCTGCCGCCGAGCCGACCACGTTCTCTCGCTGTTCATGTTCATGGCGTTGCTTTTGCAGTTGCAGTAGTAGATGCGCTCCTGGTTTTTGAATTGTCGAGATTTTGGGCCCCTTGTGATTGACGGACAGGCCATCCACATGCATGGAAACAAATTTGAATTTCCTTCTGTATCTGTTAATATTTCTTCTCCGTTTCCTATCATCAGTTACTAGGAGCGAATTAGCCATTGAGTTCATACTTCTGATCTTTTTTTAGCATGTTAGATGAAGACCATCCTTCCTGTATCACGCAGCAAAACAGCTGTTCTACTTCTATATGTTTCCACAGTGGCCCCGATCGAGCAAACGAGCATTGCTGCTGCATCGCGAGGTCGTTTTCGCCGGTTACTTGAGCTAATTTTCAGTCGGCCAGTCCGACGTGGGTTTGACAAAGAAAAGAATTAAATGTCCACGTTATACGGCGAGCCCTTGTTGAAATCACGAATGCATGATTTGACATTTCCGTGAATTTTTCCACCGATCGCATGCGATGCTGATGAAATTCCGCTGCGCGCACGGCTTGTTGTGAAATCGACGTCCATCCTGCCCACAATGAGTATCACAACAAGCCTGTTTACGTGTGAAAGGAACCCCTTGATATTTTTGTTCGTCAATTCAGATGTACTACTAGTATATCCTGCCGACCCAATTATCACTAGGATTAATTAGGATGAAATATACGTAGTTCTTTCGTCAGCAATGTATGTCGTTGTTAACTTAAATTTTACTTGACATTTTAGGCCCGTCCCCAATGCTAATGTCCCGTTCGCTTGGCTGATAAGCCATGGCTGAAAGTACTGTTGACTGATTTAGTGTGAGAGAAAAATATTGTTTGTTAGCTGGAAAAGTATAGCTTCTAAGCTAAGCAAACATGACTTAAATCTGAATATTTAATTTAATTTCCCGGCCCTGCTGATTGCATTGCAGGCATCGACGTTGCGTCGGCGGCCACGACGGCGGCGCCACTCAAGTTCGGCATCAACTACGGGCAGATCGCGAACAACCTCCCGCACCCGACGCAGGTGTCGGACTTCCTGCAGTCGCTGAACGTGAACCGCGTGAAGCTCTACGACGCCGACCCGGCCGTGCTGACGGCCTTCGCCGGCACGGGCGTGGAGTTCATCGTCAGCAACGAGGACCTTTTCAACCTGACGGACGCCCGCAAGGCCCGGGCCTGGGTGGCGCAGCACGTGCAGCCGTTCCTGCCCGGCACGCGCATCACCTGCATCACCGTGGGGAACGAGGTGCTCTCCGGCAAGGACACGGCCGCCATGCAGAGCCTGCTCCCGGCCATGCAGGCCGTGTACCAGGCGGTGGTGGTGCTGGGCCTCGCGGGGCAGGTGAACGTCTCGACGGCGCACTCGGTGAACATCCTCGCCAGCAGCTACCCGCCGTCGTCGGGCGCATTCCGGGAGGAGCTCGCGCAGTACGTGCAGCCGATCCTCAACTTCCACGCCGAGGTGGGGTCGCCGTTCCTCATCAACGCGTACCCGTTCTTCGCCTACAAGGCGAGCCCGGGGACCGTGTCGCTGCCATACGTGCTGTTCGAGCCCAACCCCGGCGTGGTGGACCCCAACACCAACCTCACCTACGACAACATGCTCTACGCCCAGATCGACGCCGTGTACGCGGCAATGAAGGCCATGGGCCACACGGACCTCACCGTCAGAATCTCCGAGACCGGGTGGCCGTCCAAGGGGGACGACGACGAGGTGGGCGCCACCGTGGCCAACGCCGCCGCCTACAACGGCAACCTCATGAAGAGGATCGCCATGGGCCAGGGCACGCCGCTCAAGCCGCACGTCCCCGTCGACGTCTTCGTCTTCGCGCTCTTCAACGAGGACATGAAGCCCGGCCCAACGTCGGAGAGGAACTACGGCTTGTTTTACCCTAACGGCACGCCGGTGTACAACCTCGGGTTCGACAGAGCGTCCTTCAACCCGCCATCGCCGACGTACTCCTCTTCTTCCAAGCTGGCGGCGGTAAGGAAATTCTGAGCTTTATCAGTGGCTAAATTAACTAGTACTATGAATCAAGTTTATTACATCTCTGTCATCACAAGAAGCTTAATTAATTATCCATTGTATTCACTGTTGCAGATTACATTTCAGATGGCGGTTGTTGTCCTACTCGCCGGCTTCTTCCTATGACCATACATCCTACACAGTACCGTGCGTGAAGATTATTGCTATTTTTTGACTAACCCCATCTGTGCCTTCATTGGACTTGGACATCAGACTAGTTACCAGAGCCCATATTAGTCTGATTTGAGGTAATAAGCTTATGTGACAGTAGTCCTGTTCAGCTGACTTGATAATGCATATTTCTTCTGTCAAAAAGTGAAATTCCAAATATTCATTTCTGTTTGGCGTCATGGTAGACTTCTTTTTTTCTCTCGTTATATTTTTTTCAATTAATTAAGAAATAAAACGTATTCGGGCCTTACACATTCACCGGCAAGCGGGTACAACCGATCCGTACATAAAAAGGTCCGAACGACCACTGTCCACTACGTAGAGCGCGCGCACACAACAAAGTCATCACAGAACTTAAAAAACAAAGACGCTTAGATCTCCAAACTTCTCTGTTGCTTCCAACCCGCTCTTCCTAAAACCTTTGACAGCATAACTTCCAAACACATGCATCCATTCTCTTCAGCACCATCCTCTCATTCTCTTTAGATAACTGGGATCATTGTCTGATCCAGTAAAACTACCTGTATGAACGAGTTAAATTTTTTCTTATCTCATACTACATCGTTTCTATTCAACCACAAAAACCAGCACATCACCAGCAAACCCAACATTATCCGTCTTTCTCAAACTTGGGATAAAATTCCTAAGCCATGAGCCAAACATGTGAATATTATTTTTGGGTGGTTGAAAGTGATGAACAATGCATTCCACAAGAATCATCATCATACAACACTCGAAAAAGAGAGGTTTCACTGTCTCATTTAAACCACAAAAGCTACAGCTAGGGTCCGCTTTCCACCCCTTTTTAACAAGTTATCTTTTATAAATATGATCCCTCATTTTAAATACTTGAGGAAAATCTTTATATTTCAATGGGAGCTTTGCCTTTCAGAACAAATCTTTCCCACCATTCATCACTTTCTTCATTAGCTCCCTATATAAAGATTGAGCCGAAAATTCACCATTTTTCCTCAACCGACACAAAAAACCTATCCTTATTCTCAGTCAAATTGATGGGCACAAGGAGACCAAATTCAGCCAATCATCCAAACTTTCACCGCCCTTCTAAACGATATGTTCAAAGGGGTCGTGCTGTTCTTGACCAATCCACAGGTCATTTCCAAAACTAGCTTCATTGCCACTATTAACCTTGAACTTCCCATGTTTTTAGCATAAGGTCTTTGACGTCCGTAAGACTTGCCCAAAAATTAGAATCACCCGGGTTCTTTACCACTTTTTTTTTCTCATTATATGCACGTCTGTTACTTGAAAGTAGATATTATAAGCAATGTTTTGAAAATGGATTTCCCTCCCTGCTGGACCATACACAATCAGTATGGGAGGTCATCGATCGGCTGAGCATCAAAGTCGATTTTCAAAACCTCGAGTAGAAGTAGCAAGATTATTCAACCAGGTCATACAGTACGTCAGTACGTATATCATACAGTTATGATCTCCTGACTTTTGTTGAGAAAAGTTTGAGCCATGAGTCGAGTAGTTTGTCAACCTCTGTCAGCCAAAGATGTTCCATTATGTTAGGTGGTCGGTCATCCTGAACCTGGAGGCAACATGTAGATGTTTGGCCTTTTCCACCTCAGGCGCGCCATGCGACGGTTCTTCAGGTAGCGTATCCCTCAGGGACGACCGGGAGGGGCAGGCCGGTGGTTGATCGGTTCTTGCTTGCGCTGCCAATGCCCTGAGAGCTCCACACCAACCAACCGAAGAGGACCCGCCTTGCTCGCGTCATCTTAGAAAAGAATCGAACAAGAATTAGCACAGGAGGGAACAAGATTGGGCCGGCGAGAGCATGCATGCTTCTTCCATTTGACAGCTACTTTTCAGAAGCAAATGTTGCTTTGGCCAAATTGGGGCCTGCTGCCGTTGAGCGCTCGCTGTTGTCGATAAACCTTGAGAACAGGGCATTTTCTGCCGAGACTGAGAGAGGTCCAGACTAACTAACTTTTCAAAATGAACTTACCAGTCTACGAAAAAAAATTAGGTCAAAATAAGATTAACGCTTCTTTGTTTGCTGCTACTGCTCTCTATCTATATGATACATGGTCATCTGTTGATTTATTCCTCATTTGGTCTGTTTGACACAACTGAAAAGTTCTAACAATGATCTCACGGCTCTTGTACTTTATGTGCAGGTTTATCAAGATTTTTTGTACCCTATCGATTGATTGGATTGTAAGGTTGTAATAATACTAGGAAGGAAGCAAGCTGATGTATGGCATCATATATTCTGATATTCATATCGACGCACCTTTTTTCATGCCAGGCAGTCAAGCCGCTGTAAAGTTTTGAAAACATGAGCTGAATTTGGAATAGAATGTAGAAGCGCCCCAGATTAGTTCTCTAGAGGCAGCGAGCATGCACTACTACAGGAATCAATTTGCGCAGCGTGGCCAAAATAGGCTCCGTGACGGGCACCTCTTTTGCCCGCCACGGTTAACCGGTGGCCGGCCACCGAGGCCGGCCACCGAGGCGCCCGCTGCGGGAAAAGGGTTTACCACGGCGGGCCACCTTACTTGCCCACCCACAGAAATCGTTATTTACCGCGGCGGGCGGTATGAATCGCCCGCCGCGGTTAATACGATTTACCGTGGCAGGCTCTTTAAACTGCCCGCCGCGGTAAAGAGTTGATTTACCGAGGCGGGCGCTTTATCTTGCCGGCCGCGGTACCGTGGCGGGCTCTTTAAACTGCCCGCCGCGGTAAAGAGTTGATTTACCAAGGCGGATGCTTTATCTTGCCCGCTGCGGTAAAGCCTGTACAAATACACAGCACCACCCCTTCATCTTCTCCACGGGTCTTCCTCTCTCAAACTCATGGGGTGAGGCTTTGCCATAAAATTTGAGGAAACTTTTGATTTGAGTTGAATGGCTTGGATTTGAGAGAGGAGGACATCATAAGAGGTTCATAAAGGCTCTCTCTCTCTCCTTCCATCCTCTCTCTCTATTTCCATCACCTAGAGTTCTCTCTAGATTTAGATCTAGATCTAGATCAATTTTAATGGAAAAAATGAGGTCATGTATTTCTTTAACTTTAGATTCATCATAGATGCATGCTTCATCTTTCACATCATTATTATCTCTTTTTCATGATTTTGGACGTAAAAATCATCAATTTCTCCTAATTCTTCTTTATTTAATGTTGATTGTGACGGATAATGTTCGCAGGTATGATGGATAGGTCGGAATGGATGTACCGGATCGATAGAGTGAATGATCCATGGTACCTCTTTGAATTAAGGAAGTTTATTGCTTTCTTTGGTAAAGCTCACCGTGAGAGGCCCGAAGCGGATGACAACCATATGTCCATGTTCTCGTTGAAAGAACACGAAAGCCCACCGAGAGACAATGAGGTGCAAACTCATTTGATCATGTATGGTTTCGTCGAGGGCTACATGGTCTGGACATTTCACGGCGAAAGAGTTGGTGCGAGTGGCGGTGCATCTGGAGTGAGCTCTTCGACGCCGACGACGACAACACCACCGGTGAATAAAGATCCTTAAGGAGCACCCGGCTCCTCATCATCTTCAGCAGCAGTTGCGCCAGCCGACAGTGACAACAGTTGTCGTGATTACCTCACGGTGGATGATCTAATGCAAGACATGGCCGATGAAGCCGGCGACGGTGGGGATGGTCAGGATACTGTGAGCCAACCCGAGGATGTGCAGCTTGTTGAAGATCTAGTCAAACACTTCGATGAAGACGACGTTGTGTTGGGTTGCCCAAAGTGGTTGGAGAATTTCAGAGAGTTGAAGCAGGCGGTAGTTGATCCTCTCTATAAGGACGGCGGCGATTGTCCGAAGGAGTGCACGATGCTCCATTTTAACCTCCATATGTTGATGTTGAAGGCTCGTCATGGTTGGTCTGACACTAGCTTCAATGAGTTGTTAAGCTACCTTGCCACCACGTACCCAACGACTAACAAGGTGCCCGCCAATACTTATCGGGCCAAGAAGCTGATCCGGCCAGTGGCGATGAAGCTTAGAAAGTTTGATGCATGCCCTAACCACTGCATCCTATATCGGGGCAATGAGTATGAGAATTTGACAAGTTGTCCGCACTGCGGCTTTAGTCGGTACAAGAAAAATGCTGGTTGTCGCGTGGATGCAGAAGACGAGGGAGGCTTGCGGGGTGGTCGGAAGAAGAACAAGAAGGGGGCAAAGAAGATCAATGCGGCCAAACAGATCTCGGCTCAGCAGGACGATGAAGAAGAGGGTTACACGCACAGGAAAAGTCCAGCACTGTCGGTGTGGTACCTGCCCGTGACCGATCGCCTACGTGCAATATTCGGGAACCCGGACGATGCCAAGCTCATGTCCTGGCATGCATCAGCCGAAGCGAGGATCAGGTGGAGTTTGGAAAGAAGAAGAAGCCGCCTGAAGAGGGGACCAAGCAGACAAGGAAGCGAAAGCGGGACCAGACGGAGGAAGTCCCCGCCGCCGTTCCTTTCAAGAAGAAGTCATTTTTCTTCAAGTACCTGTCGTATTGGAAAACACTGAATACACCCCATGCCATCGACTGCATGCACCTGGAGAAAAATGTCTTCGAAAGCACGATCGGTGTCCTGCTGGACATCAAGGGCAAGACAAAGGATGGTATCAAGTCACGGACGGATCTTGTCAATCTAGGCATCAGGCCGGACCTTCACCTGGGACCGCCTCAGAACGGTAAAGTCGATATCCCGGGTGCGGCCTGCAACCTAACGCAAGACGAGAGGACGGCTTTTCTTAAGTTTCTTAGGGGTATCAAGGTGCCGACTGGTTTCTCTTCCAACATCAAGAGCCTGGTCTCCATGAAAGACCTCATAATGACCGGCTACAACTCACACGACTAGATGACAATCATCATTGGTTACCACCTAGATGACAATCATCCAACCATGAAAGACTTGACCAAGCGACAGAGAGAGGCGCACAGGAAGAAACTAATGGACAATGAGAAGT